TGTTTACATATTGTTGTGCAAACCATGCATTTTCGATTAATTATTAAACTTTTCTTTGCCAAATGGGAAGCCTTTTTCGCAAATACTTTTTAGCCCTTGGAAAAGTTACCACTTTTAAATCTAAACAATCTAACATACACAAACTAAAATAAAGTAGATCATCATTTTTAAGTATAATAAATATGAGAAAATAATTCCTTTTTTATTTCTAAAGCGAAAAATGTGGGCCAAAATACCATTTTAAGAAATATTTTTTATCTTCATTCCGTAAAACCTCACAAATGATAAGTTCTCCGTTTTTTATTTTAGGTTTGATTGAAATAAAACCATTTTTCCCAATTTTATCGCACATAGAAAGCATCTTTTTCAAAGAGCACTTTTTTTTTTAAATTTTTTTCTCTCGCTATTTCCTGTATGCAAATCCAAGTAATCGAGATTTTTTTTTATTAGTTTAAGGGATCCTTACAGAACATGCAAAATTATTCCAATCAGCATGCATATCAATTTCCCAAATCACATGCGCTGTATTAAGCTTGCATATTCATGCAAAAGTTAATGTAATAAGCATGCCTGTGATTAAAAATCACAAAAAAGCAACCCTCATGTTTTAATCATCATAGCGTGGTATAGCACACCTGTAATGATCTTGATTAGCATCACGTTGATCCGACTCAACCGTGATCTGTCAAAATGAATTGAGGATCTCCTCTTAAGAATCCGTGGGAGAATTCGACTGCTTAAATGATTCGACCTTGTTAAAAGATTAGACGGTGACATAAATAATGAAAGGAGCTCTGTCGTAATTGACAGCAGGAAAAAAAACAACCATGTTCATTAACTAAAGAGTTGAGGTTTACTTAGGACAGTTTGTTTCCATATTTTATCATAGATTGCGAACCATTCTGAAATGTTTTGCCAAAATTATAAGTTATGGAATGTTGTTGATAAGTCGTAAAAGGAAACTTGGATATAATAACCCCCTTTTAAGTTGTTCTTCTATCATAAGTTGTTGATGTGACATTCAGCTTGTCGTAGTCAAAGCCCAGGTTAAATTGTTTTTAAAATATGTACTGATGAGGTATTGGAATATTTCGTGTTCGACAACCATTGATCAAGTCTGAAACTTTCAAAGAGTTGTTCTTAATATCATTCTCTGTTCATCAGATATTTTTTTATGTATTGTGAGTTATATAGTGTTCTGTAATATAAGAATGCATCTCTTCTCCTTTGCTTACTTTACTCACCAACCCCCTAGACTGCCATGCAATAATTATTATTTCTTGAAAGTCACCTTCAGAGGAAAAAAAAGATTTTGCATCCATGTTAACCTACAGAGAATGCATCCAAAATTTCATTATTTATTCAGTTATCTACTAATTAGCATTTTTGAATAAATTTTTGCTGCATTTTATTCATTAAAATTCGTTCTATTGAACTTATTAGACGAATTTTAAAGCTTAAGATTGAAAGTATTTTTAATCTTAAACTTTGAAAAAGTTTTAAAAACTACTTACAACCTCAACATAGGTACAATTATTGTATTATTATTACCACTGCAATTTTATTTTTTGAATTCCTACTTCATCTTTGGTTATTATAAAAACTCTTTAAACCTTTTTTCCTAAAATAGATAGTTAAGTAAAGGTAAGACAAGTTATTTCCCAATAATCTTTACAATTGTGTTTTCATAATTTTAAAAGCCTACGTCGATTTTGCAAAATTTTGCATAAATAACAGATTTAACTTGAAATATCTAACGATTTCATTTTCTTTAAAAGCCCTTACATTTATCTTCCTTTCTGAAAAGTTTTATCTATTTATAAATTATAAGTATTTATATTTATGCAAAAATTAAGTCAAAAAGGTGTCATATATTTGTTACCTCAACTCTTGAAGGTAATTTCTCAAGTAGAATAGAACAGGGATTCTAATCGCAGAAATTAAGTAAATCTATTAAAGGCGAAAAGCTCTTTCTTTTTTCTGCTTCATATACCCAAAAAAACAGAAAGAGTTTGCCTGTATTTGTGTTGATTTGTTGGCAGTGGTAGCAGCTGTATTTATGCTATTTAATGTGTTGGTCGAGGTCAACCTAAGTTCTGTCAAATGCACCTCTAAACCCTACTGGTAAATTTTTGAATAGAATTGTTTTCATAGCCATTTCTACTACTTTTTTTTTTTAACTTTCTTCTTTTTAAATTTTTTTTCTTCTTTTTTCTTATGTTCCTTTCTCGTCTTTTTCTTAAATTTCAAATATTGCCGCCGAACCATTGATCATTGTTCGTAGATCATTGTTGGAGTAAAAATGCAGATGTTTGTGTTTTTTAATGTTTAAAAGTGACAATATCAGAATAATAATGCTTAACTTCTACCTTTTTTCTAAAAAATTTATTTAGGTGGAAAAGTTTAACCTTTTAAAGTTGGTACGGAATTTTTAATACTCCACTCTGTTACCTGATGTAACATTAGCTATTTTATTATTTTGAAATTATGCTTTCCAAAATTATATGGGATTACTAATGGGTATTTAATTGAATAATTATGGGAATAGTAACTGATCAAGAAGACCCAGCTCCTTATGAGGTCCGAGTTCGAATCCCAACAAAGGCTGGTCGATACGAATTCCACACCCGGCTCGCAACGCCCACTGTGCCGACGTAAAATATCCTCAGTGGTAGACTGATCATAGGTTTGAGTCCCCTTACCGTCAGGCTAACCGTGGTAGATTACCGTGTTTTTTCTGACCATGTGACACAAATGCGGGTAAGTTTCATCAAAAAAATCCAGAATTTCTCTTGTCTTCTGGATTGGGCTCAAAATTACAGGGTTATACAGTTAAATATTCGTAGTGGTAAACTCAAAATTAGGTCGGTTGTTCAGCGACGATTATGAAATAAAATAAGATCACCACACCCGCAGTCCGTATTTTCAAAAGGTGAACCAGCTGTCCGTTGAAGACGATTAGTGCTGAATGATAAATTAAGGAAAAAAATCTTTTTCCCATCTTACTGCCAATATTTTTATAAAATTTTATTGATGTTATTTAAATATACAGATTACATTTTTAAAAATACTTATCTAGTTACACACATAAAAAAAAGTTTTAGGAACGGTACTATAAATTAGTGCCATGGTAATTTGAGATTTGCTGTTAATTACACATCATTTAACAACACTTCCTAGAAATGATTTTTCTTTTGTTTAAGAATCCTCTTCTACGTCGCCAAAGACATTAATTCTGCCAATTTCAGTACTTTTACCCTCTAATTGCACTTTTTAATGATTCTTTTGGGATTTAGGTATGCGTGATTGTGACCTTCCTTATGTGGTCTCAGTTAATCAACTAGATTCGTCTTTCCTCATAAACACCTCTTTTGCACTTAAAGAAAGGACATCACACAGTTGCGCAGTTACCGTCTGCACAGTAAGGGGCGTGTTTTATGAACCTATTTAATGGGAAGATGTCATCGTGGGTAGCCCTGATTGCGTAAAATGTATAATTATCACTCGAACGCTCTAACTCACTTATTTCTATGATATTTTTTTTTATTTTTATGTTACCTCCCACGTTTGGCATAGAATAAAGATTGAGAATTTTCTTTTTTTCATTCACAGCATTTGTTATTGTTGACAAAAGTGCTTACTTATTATATAGATCATTGCTCCCTGAATTTTTTTAATTAAAATAGTTTTTTTTTAATTTTTAATTTCAACACTTTCTTTAAGTTTAAGGTAGCCACAGATTTCTAAAACGTGATTTGAGGACAAATCAGCTGAGCGTCCTCAAAAAATTTTAAAATTCGAGGACATCCATATATTTATGGAATATATTAGTTTGTGTGTGCAACAAAGCTCACTTTTTAAAAATAAAACTAACAACCAATGTCAGCTACAGAATCATCTTCATCAAGCTCGATATCACTACTAAGCAATTTTGATATATCATGTGTTATTCTGCATTTGCGTATTGCAGCTTATTGTTCTGCTCTGTACGCATCCATCTTAGCACAACTTTAGACTTACTTCAAGCTATAGATCAAAACTATTTACAGATCGAAACTACTTGATTTGTTTTATACAATTTCTGGGAGTACTAATCTTTTCCTAAAAAATAACATTGATGGAGTTTGGCGCTATCGCCACTGTATTTTTGACACTATCATTTGGGCAATCTTTATACACTTTAGAAGAAACAAATTAGGGGACCTAATTACTCTTTATGTAATTAAGTCTTTATGCAATTAAGTCTTTATGCGCTTTTAAGGGAACCAAATTACTCTTTATGCAATTAAGTCTTTATGCACGTTTAGGGGAACCAAATTAGGAGACCAATTTACTCTTTATGCACTTTTAGGGGACCAAATTACTCTTCATGCACTTTTAGGCGAACCAAATTAGGGGACCAAATCACTCTTTATTAACTTTTAGGTTACCAAATTACTCTTTATTCACCTTTAGGTTATACCAAGTTACTCTGTATGCACTTTTAGGGGACCAAATTACTCTTTATGTATTCTTAGGGGACCAAATTACTCTTTATGCACTTTTAGCGGAGCCAAATTAGGCGACCAAATTACTCTTTATGCAATTTTTGGATACCAGATTAGGGGATCCAAATTAGTCTTAATTTGCGATAAGCTTAAATAGAACAAGAACGATGTATATTTAATTAAGATATTTTTTCGAAAATGTTCATATTCCATTATTAATATTAGATATTCTTGAAAACAATGTCTGCATAATTAGAAAAAAAAGTGTTTTTTTGAATAATATATTAGTTTGTATTATAAAAAAGGAAAATATGTTTTGTTAAGTTTTATTTTATTATTATTCTAAGTAATTATATTATAGTATATATTATGGTATGATATTAAATTAGTATTTCTATTATCAGGATTAGACGAAAAAAATTTATTGATCATTAAACGAAAAGCATTTATGACATTTTTTTTTAATTCGTACTATCATATATCGATGATTAATTTCTTTTTATGTTTGCATAGGGTGGTTTATGTTCCATGTCGGACACCATGGATAGCTTCAAAGAACTGGGTGGAGTCCCTCAGCCCAGCGTCCGAATTAAACATCTGACCAGGTAAATATTGTCAAGAAAAATATCCATTTTATTATGCATCTATTATTCATGAAACTATGAGTGTCATATAATGCTAAATCATCTGCACATTATTTTCTAAAATAGTATAATTAATAGAATAAATGATAGTCGTTAATATTATACTATCTTATCGATATAATTTGTAGAATTATTTGTAGCCCAGGTAGACCCAATGTTGAAAGCTAAAATTTTTATTTCTTTATTTTTTAAATTTAGTAATTGCATAGTATTACCTATTTCTGTGTTACTTTATGATAAAGACATTTAGTTACTGGTTGATAGCTATTAAACAGTGCTGGGTTCGTTTCCATTTACTGTGTGGAGATTTTTTAATCGTCTTAAATATCATTGTAAACATCGAAATAAACATTTATAGATAAGACAAGATGATACAGTTCTAAAAAAATATATAAGTAAACGATATATAAGAAAACAACCTTGCTCTTTAACATCATATCAACGTCTCTTCTCAAAAGTACATGGTGCTATTAGAGGTTGCCAATATATCCCCCCCCCGGTCCACAATGAGCTATTGCGGGATTTAGTTTAATTTTTAATTTTGACAGGCGAAACTGTCTTATCATCAATAAATAAAAATGATTGCAAAGTAATCGTAGGACTAGTGAGCGGAGTGTAACGTATCAAGCTATATAAATAACAGTTCTGTTTCTTATAAAAGACTTTTATTCACAAACAACACAAACAGTAACAAATATTAAGTACCCGTAACGGGATAGTTAAAATATTATAAAACAAACTAGAAAAATCCGTAACGGGTTATATGAAAACTCAAATTCCAAAACAAAACTAATATCTAAAAAAACGAACTTTCTGTTGTTCTACAAAAAGTCTTCTAATTTTATCGTCTGCTTTTATTTTTTTGTTTATCTCTTCATGTGGTTAGTTTATTTTATTCATGCTTTTGCTAGCCCGTTATTTTCTAATATGTTTACTTTTATTCATGCTTCTGCTATCCCGTAATTTTGTAATATTTTTACTTTTATTCATGCTTTTGCAAGCCAATTATTTTTTTAGTATTTTTAGACTCTATAGGACAAATTAACTTTATAGGAGCAAGCAGGGGTACAATTGTAATCTAAAATCTGCTATTAATTAGTGGAAGGTCGACTGCTGTTATAAAATATTAGTTGATTAGTAACGTATAAAAATAAAGACAAAGAAATAAAAAAAAAACAGTTCTAAATATTTTATAAGAAAATTTACTCTTTAAAGGTTTTTACTTTTTACTTAACTTGTTTTACTTTTTTTTTAATAATATGAAATGTTCGTGACATTGAATCAAGTTTTGTTACATTTTTATCAAATAGATTGATGATTCTGTTCAATAGCATTTCTAAAGCTTTTACTTTTTCATGACATTCCCTTTTGATAGATAACAGATTTTATGTAACAAATCTATTCAAAATGCCTTGCTTTGTTACAGCATTTCCATTGGATTGATCGATGGTTATAAGTAACAATGTTTCAGTTTTTTTCGCGACATTTTCAATAAATAGATTGAAAGGTTTTGTGTAATAGATTATCCAAAAGCTTTTGCTTTATCGTTTTCTTTTGATCTAAAGCCAGATATATTTTGTGGAAATTAACAGTTTCTGTTTTATGCAAAGTAGTTCGGTACGGCACCGCATATTTATTAAGATTTTGCTAAAGAAATGATCCTAACTTTTTTTTTTTTTAAAAAGTGCAGTCAAAATTAAATGAAACTAAAAAGAGCGATCTATAGTGTATTATTCCTGTTTTTTTACCTCACAGAGTTTGCGTTAAAATCTTAAAGCAGAGTTTTATTTTATTTTATTATTTAAGTTTTTATTATTCATATAAGAATGAGACAATGCAAAAATTTCTGCTACTTGGTTTCTATATATTCATATGATTATTCCATGTAATCAAATATATGTTCATGTGGTCATTCTATGTATTTATATAATGATTCTATGTATTCAAATTATTGAAAAAATATTTGTACGTTTTATTTTAATAACGTTCGGTTTCCAAAATTATTTTTTTCTAGTGAATTATTTATTATTATTATTTTTTAGTTTTTTACTATAGAATTCTCCGTTTCGTAATTAAAAATTTAATATTACTTCACTTGAGTATATTATTAATGATTAAATTATTAAGTATTAAACAATTAAGTAATGAATTATTAAGTATTAAACAATTAAGTATTGAATTATTAAGTATTAAACAATTAAGTATTGAATTATTAAGTATTAAATTATTAAATTATTCAGTATAAACTATCAATTGATTATCCGAATGTCAATAAAAAAAAAGAAATTTAATAAGTAAAGCATTTAAAATAAATACCGTAGCCTTTAAAATTGCAAGATTAAGTTAAAATGCCTTAAATTGAAAACAAAGCTTTAATTATCTAATTAAATAGCTTTATTAAACTTCCCAATCCACCTTTCTAAAGAAATTATCAGAAATTTTCTATGGACCAATAGCTTAAATATTTGATTAATTATTTAGCTTTTTCGTAAAATAAAAATAAATAAAAATAAATAAAATAAAAATAAAAAAACATTAAAATCAATCAATATAGTTTTCGATTTTTCATGTTTTCAGGAGTCCAAATAATATTGCGTGGGAGAAACTTTCAGCTATTAAAAAATTAGATTACAAAAGCTTTGTTTTTAAACTGACATTTATCTTCATTTTCATCATTAACTCAAAGGTCACTGGTATCATTTAGTCTAAATGGTCATGAATAATTATGAATAGTGATGGGCAACACTTTAGGCTAAATAGTCATGGATAGTATTATTCTTAATTGGAAATTTATCGTTCTCTGGTTCAGGTCAAAATTACGATCTGTGGATGAATGAATGATGAATGAATGGGTCCGCTCTATAAACGGATGTGACATATGGATGTGACCGAAGTAAAATTCTTGGCCATAGATGGCGCCACAGGAAAATAAGAACAATCGCCCCCTTACCTTAATGGCCTTCAACAACAACATAATAATAATAATAGGATATCAACAGTTATAATAATAGGATATCAACAGTTATAAGAATAGAATATAACTGTTATAAGAATAGATTATTGCGTTAAAAGGTGTTATTCGTATGTTGACCGAGGACAAGTTCTTTATAAAACAGCTTTAAATATTTCATAGAAAATTTATTATTTTCATATGTTTTCTAATTGTATGCCACAATAAAAGTTCTTTTTTCGTTGCCAAATCTAAAATGTCAAATAAAATATAATAACCATGGCTGTCATAAATTAATTGGTATTTCTTAAGCTCATCAGGGAGCAATTTTTCAGATTATTTTCCAAGATAAATTCTCCCATAATACACTGAAACGATCGATTCTAAGCTGCAACAAACTGTAACAATGTATCCCCGCAGGTGTCCATTTCTGTTGATTTATTTAGCATAGTTGTCTTTATTACTTAATTCCAAAGCTATATTTTACTGCTTGTACACAGATAGCTATTACAACCTTAAACAAACGAATTAACCCTCAATGTTTGGAAGTCGAAGAAACAAATTAAAAGATAAGGGGGAGAATGCTGGAGTAAATTGAAATCAATAGAATCGTTCATCATTCTTGACAGAAAACGATCTTTTTCAGTCCCCTTTCTCATTAGGCGTGCCCAGTCCTGCCTAATTTGGTAGCTACTACTTACAGTTATAACTGGGGTTTAATGACTAATTTTAATTTAACTAGTGCTGAGTAATGTACTTAAGTTTTCTTTACTCTAGTTATGATTTGTTACTTTCCTTTCTGTTCTGTTCTAAGACATAATATGGAATGATTTGTTTTTCACTTTACTCATGTAGAGTTTGGTGCTTTAGACAATGTTTTGTGGTGTTGGCAGTGATCGAAAGTGGAGTGCTACTTTTTTTTGTAGTTTGTAGTGCAGTTTGCTATTTTTTTTAAAAAGTAGTGTTTCGATAAAAAAAACCAGTAGTTTGTAGCCATTCCTGGCAACTGATTTTAACGTAAGTTGAGAAAAGAAGTACGGTTCTAACGCTTTAATTTTTTTGAATTTAATGGAAATTTTCTTATTTTAGCAACCACTTTAGTTATTAAATTTTACAATCGGTTTATTTTAATGAACAACATGCAATTGTCATGCGAAAACATATTTTCTGTAAAAATAGATGGATGATAATATGCATCTGGGGCTACTAATTAATCAGTTATATTGACACAAACCATAGGAAAGAGATTCGTCACTTGATATCGCGTGATCTGGCAACGAACGTGTCTATTTGTATTTTGCGTTTTTTTTATTTTTATTTGTTAATTTTATTAATTTTTTTATTTATCCTTGCATAATCTCTCTTGCTGCTTATATTATGTGGACCTAATTCTAATTCGTTATGCAACGTACGGAAATAACTGTAATCGGAAAAAGAAAAGATTAGTTAAAAAAATTCATATTGGCGTAATTTTCAGGATCGAGAGGAATCTATATTTTTCTTTTAAGTGGAAAAAAATAGTTCGCTCATGCTTTCGCCAAAAAGCAATTTGTTCCACCGAATTTACGATTTTATCGCCGTTGGCGAGGTCGCTAATGCTTATCGTGGACCCCGCCATCGTAAAAGAAACTAAGTTTCTTATTTCATCCAACAATTCTGAATCGTTTGCTTGCATAGCTGAGTTCTCAAGTTTCATGTTATTAAAAATTCTTTTCCCTTTGTTCCTACTTAAACGTCTGGTTTGATTTAATTACTTTTGTGTTTGCATTCTATTATTTACATTTTACATACACAGTCTTAAGTTGTAGACATTTGCATATGAAAGAGACTTGGAGACGAAATCTACGGAGAGAATCATTTTGCAGAATAAATACTCCTACCAGCGAATGGTCGAGTCTCAAAGGAGAAGACCGTTTATAAATAAGATTACGCTTTCATTTTAATTGCTTAGGAGTGCGTGAGATTTCCCCAAACTTTATCTAAATTTCATTTCCTTCAGTTAACAGAAACG